TCTCGGGCGCTGCGAGAGCGTCCACCCAGATAGGTCGACTGAGGCGATCTGCACGGGTTCACTCGATGTTGGCATGCGAGTGTGCCCGTGCAGTCCCCGGTCGGTTTCGCAAATCGGCGTGCCTTTCGCCAGGTACATTCGGTTGTTTCCGGACGTCGATCAGTGATTCCGCAAGGGTACATTCGGAACGCGGTGCCGCGCGCACCCGTGGAGCGCCCCAGCAGCTTTCGCTGCAGGGCGTGATGCTAAATGGGGTCTCTGTCAATCCTCGATTAAAAGGGAAGAGTCGAGGAGGAGCAGGAGGAGAACGAGGAGGAGGGGGAGGAGCAGGTGGAGGAGGAGAAGCAGGATGAGGAGGAGGAGGAGGAGGAGCAGGAGGAGGAGGGGTGGCGGAGGACGAGGAGGAGGAGGAGGAGGAGGCGGAGGAGGAGGAGGAGGGGAGGAGGCCGGAGGAGAAGGAGGAGGAGGAGGAGGAGCAGCAGGGAGAGGAGGAGGAGGAGGAGGAGGAGGAGGAGGAGCAGGAGGAGGAGCAGCAGGAGGAGGAGGAGGAGGTTCGAGTTTGTCCCCCGCCGAGAGAAACACGGGGGCGGGAGTATAAAGGCAAAGACCCTTCGAGGTCAGGGGTCAGGAGGATCCCGACTTCGTCCTGGCGCGCGCCACCCGTCCCAGCTGCCTGGCTGCCCTCCCGCGCGAGGTCGCCCTGGGCCGCCGGCGTGGCGGGGGCGCGCCGCTGCCCGCCGCCCGCCAGCGCCCGCGCGCGCGCGCGCTCGCCGACCCCACCCGCGGAGCCCACGATTTCGCCCACGATGTGGCCCACGATTTCGCCCACGAGATCGCCCGCCCGCGATTTGGCTCGCGCTTTCGCCCGCGAGTGCCCCGCGTGTGCCCACGACTTGTCGCCGACTGCTCGAAGAGTGCCCACTGGCGAACGCCTGACACAAAATGCACGTTTGCCTCACTCCGGGAGGCTCGCGACCTGCTGTGTTTTCTTCCCGGGTCGTCTTTTGAGCGGTCCCGGGGCCCGGTGAGGGCCCTTCGGGGCCGAAAGCTGCCCAAAACAGGGAAAAAATATTGAAAGCATTCAAGAGAAGCTCAAGTTTCATCAAAGAGTTTAGGTTTTTTGGGAATGTGCATTTCGCATAATCTCAAAATGACGAGACGTTCGCCTTTCTCGATTTTTCAGTGCGTTGGATCTCTGGGGCGCCCGCGCCGCCCCCGCCCGCCAGCTCCTGGTCGGCTGCCTCCACACCGTCGCCGGGCCCGACCACCTGGCGGGGCTGGCGCCGATGGCCCCTCCACGGCGAGGGGGGGAGGCCGCGGAAGGAGCAGAGCCCCAAGGAGTGTGTGGCTAGGGGAACAAAAAGTGGCATAAGCATAACAACTCGGAGGTCCGCGCGGATTTCTCGGATCGGCGCTGGACCCCCAACAGTGACGCGTCGATTAGTGAATTGTCCGTTTTCGGTTCTCGAGAGGGCGCCGTGGCCGTCATTTTCCAGGCTTGCGCCCGCCAGGTTCGGGCCTCAGGTCGTTTTCACTAAACCACGTTTTACTAAAGGGGGGTCTGTCCATCCCCGACAACGAGGGGGGGGGCAGCGGAAGGAGCAGAGCCCCAAGGAGTGTGTGGCTCTGACACCATGAGAACAGGTGCCATGCCCCGACACTCGGGGCGAAGAGGAGGAGGAGGAGGAGCAGTGCAAACCCAGGGGTCATCAACGCTCCAAGCTTCCTCTTCGTAGGCCCCATACAGCGGATCATTTCCACTGAGGGAACTGCCTCGTTGGAAGACACCCGTTTGAAGGGTCCGGTCCGAAGCATGCCAAATCATTGTTCTCGGGATTCCAGCGCCACGGATCAGCCTGATTCTTGCGTCTTGACGATCCTGAATCGTACCAGAACGCCATTCCTAGGATTTCAACACAGATAATCAACGTAATTGCTGCGCCCGCAGAATCCTTAATCCTTCCAAAACACCATGTCTGGTAATTACGTTGATGATGGGAAGCCGTGAAAGTCTTCACAATTTTGGAAACGAATGTGCGCGTCGCTAAGGCGAGAGCCCAATTTGAAAACCACTCGTCCTCAATCCGTGAAGCTCTCGCACATCTTTACAAAGAGTGTGCGCCGCGCTAAGGCGAGAGCCACATTTTGAAAACGACCCGCTCTCAATCCGTGAAACTCTTACAGTTTTTGTTAAACGAAAGTGCGCCGCGCTAAGGCGAGAGCCACATTTTGAAAACGACCCGCTCCCAATCCGTGAAACTCATACAGTTCTTGTTAACCGAATGTGCGCGGCGCGAATGTGAGAGCCACATTTTGAAAACGACCCGCCCTCAATCCGTAAAATTCCTGCAATTGTTTTTAACGAATGTGCGCGGTGCTAATGCGAGAGACACATTTTGAAAACGACCCGCCCTCCAGAGTCATAAGTTGTGGGGAAGTTCAGGCGAAACGCCCGGCCAGTCCTAAAAGCTGGGAGAAGTTGTTTATAAGGGAAAGGAAGGGTGGAGGAGGAGGAGGAGAAGGGGGATGGGGAGGAGGAGGAGGAGCAGGAGGAGGAGCAGGAGGAGGAGGAGGAGGAGGAGGAGGAGGAGGAGGAGCAGAGGGAGGAGGAGGAGGAGGAGGAGGAGGAGGAGGAGGAGGAGGAGCAGGAGGAGGGGGAGGAGGAGGGGATCAGGAGGAGGAGAAGGAGGAGGAGGAGGAGGAGGAGGAGGAGGGGGACGAGGAGGATCAGGAGGAGGCTGAGGAGGAGGGGGAAGAGGAGCAGGAGCGTCCCACGGGGGCCGGTCGAGACGAGCCCACGGCGGCCCGCTCCGGCGCCTTCCTCCCTCCTCTGCGCCTCCTTGTTCTCATTTTCCTCTCCTCCCCTCGCCTCTTTGTGACCGACAGTGGTTACGCAGCCAATTTGGCTTTGGGGCGCTCTCGCGCCAGAGGACTGAATGTACGTGCGATCTCACACACTTGGCTGAGAAAAGTGTTCCATCTAGGCATTTCGGCCCTCTCTGCCCCCGATGCCTGCTGACAATGGTAGCGGAGCGTGGACGAGGCACTGGGTCAAGGGGGCGCTGCTGAGCCAGGTGCTGAGGGTGCTGCACGTGATCAGGAGGTTCCCGAGCGAGGGGGCGCCCATGCGACCGACCCATGGGAAACGATCTCCACTCCTCAGAAGACAGATGGGGCCGCAGCCGGCCTCGACTCAGATGAGGACGCCTGGAGAAACTGGGGGCGAGCAGGCTGGTCTGATTGGCATTGGTCTTCCTCCCGAAGCTGGTGGGGTTCCGGCTCGTGGGGAAAGGCACCTGGGGATGAAGTCAATCGAGACTACTCTGCGCCTCCGACGTGGCATGGGTTAGAGAATTTGGAGTTGTACCTTGCTAGTCTTAGTCCTGGGACGGGCGGACCGCATTCAAGGCGGAGACCCGTGCCGGGCGAGTGATCGAGACGTTCCCCATCGAGCTTCAGGCGAAATTCAACAGCATCAGGCACCTGACCGACGAGAGCGACGGCCTCAGTAAAGTTATTGACCATCTTAAGTTGCTCAACGGGGAGCGTCCAGGGGACAAAGAGCGTGAGGCGCACAATCAGGCACTCTTTGACTATGCGATAAAGAAAGGAGAGACCCTCACGGACTACGTGATCAGGCGAGATCAACAGATTGCGGCGCGGAGCGGCTGGGTCTGACACTTCCCGACACAGTGAAGGCCAGGTACTACGAGGAAGGAGCTAACTTAACCCCCCAGCTTCGACTCAACCTGAGGACCCTGATGGCTGGTAAGAGGACCGTGGAGGCTGTTCGCGCTGCCCTACTGGAACTGGATATCACCGAGAGGCAGACGCTCCCGAAGGCGCCGGCACCTGCTCAGGCCAGGACCTTCGCGACCACGGTACCGGTGCTCGACGAAGCTGGGGATTACGAGTGCGACGCATGCGACGACAACGAGTGCTTCGGGCTCTATGAGATGGAGTTCGACGAGCAGGAGCTTGCCACCATTCTTATTTCGTTGGACTCACAGGACCTGGACGAGGAGCATATCATGGATGTGTTTGCTGAGGTGACGCTCCCTCAGCGTCGTCGCACATGGGCAGAGTCTAGGCAGCTCAAGACGAACAGAAAAGTAGACAGGGATTTCTTCGACCGTAGCAAGGGAAAGGGAACGAAGAAAGTCAACAGGGACGATTTTAAGAAGAGATCCCGCTGTTCGAATTGCGGGGAAAAAGGGCACTGGCGAGAAGACTGTCGACGACCGTATCGGAGTAAGGCAGACAGGTTGAAGTCCGAGTCGCCACGACCGGCAGCAGCCAACAAGGGCTCGGACAAGAAGCCAGTGCAGACTTCGTTCTACTTCAATTTGGACTACGACGCGAGTCACTCAGGGACGAGCTGGGCAGTGGTTCTGGATGAGTCGGGCCAGGTGGGCTCGCTCTCCGCTGCCGCCGCGACTGCGGGTCAGGTGGACCAGCAGGAGCGCGACCTGGGTCAGGTGGATCTGGATGCGCTCGCGGCGGCAACGCTGCAGGACATGGACGAGTACGCGCTGGTAGACACCGCTGCTGGACAGGCTCTGATAGGCACCCCAGACATCGACCGGCTGAAGGCTGCTTTCAAGAAAAAGGGTTTCGAGATACACTTTGTCGATACCGACAAGGTTCCCATGGCGAACGGAGTTGGAGGAAAAGTCAAGCCAGTCGGAGTTGCAGCAGTTCCGGTGTCGCTTCAGTATTGTGGAGTGGTGGAGTTCTTGGTCTTCCCGCATCCTTGTCCTCCTCTGCTACCGGCGAAGTTTCTCGATTTTCTGAAGTCCGTGATAGATCTGCGTCGTAGCGTGATGACGATCGGAGAAGATGGGAATCGACGTGATTTGGATTTGCTTAAGCTTCCTTCGGGGCATCGAGCAGTATCATTGATAGGATGCAAGCCGAGCGAATTCGCCATTAGTAAGGATCTGGCCAGCAAATTTCCGCCTGTCGTCGTTAAGGCAGGTCGTGGCGATGTCTGGGCCGAGATCCCGATGACGCTCCAGGACTGCTGGGTTCAGGTTCCAGGTGCTGTTCGTCGAGTGCACGTGGGTCCTCGCCGTGAGCCTTTCAGCTTCGCCGAGGCTGAGTCGCCTCCTGTTCCAGTCTCGCAGTCTGGACCGGGCCGTGTCACGTACCAGATGCTCGACAGTGAGTCTTCCGCTTGCAGCGTCGTCGAGAGCATCTGGGTCAACGGCGTCCCGAGCGAGGTCCTGAGCTTCACGGGCCGCTGGATCGGGTGCACCGAGTTCCCGATCGAGTGCTCGGGCCAGGACTTAGGGGAAGGACTGCAGCAGGGCACGTGCGGTAGATATTCCTCTTTCCCCTTCTCTCTAGGCCTCGATTCAGAACAGCCGGGTACCAGGGCCAGACAGTTTTCGGGTCTCGGGACTAGCCGATCCCCCGTAGCACATCCCGGCTCAAGCGATGGCAGCGAGCAGCCGGACCAGCGAGACCGACCAGCGGTACCACTAGGACAGCACCAGAGCGATGCCATCCGACAAGATCAGGATCATCAAGAGCCGGAGCGCCCGCTCGCTACGGAGCTTGAGGCACCAGGCGCTGAAGGCCCAGCGCGACGACTTCCAGCCCGACGAGGACCTGGAGGTCATTCCCGAGAACACGGAGGAGGACCCCGACTCGGAGCTCGAGATGAACTGGGACCAGACTCCAGATCCTTGGATCGACGGCGTGCTGAGCTCAATCACCTACGAGGAGGAGAGCATGACGGAGGTGGAGAAGGAGCTGTTCTTCGAGGGTGCCTTCCTGCTCAGCCCAGCTGCGCGCACCTGGAGGAGGTGGTCGATCAGGATGATGCTGTACCTCAGGGTGTGCGCCATTTCCCGTCTGTCGGCGATCGTAGCCCCTCGCATGTCCAAGGTGAAGAGCGAGGAGGAGGAAGCGAAGGCGAGCTGCTCCCATCCGATGGAGGCGAGGTGGAGCGGCGGAAACGGGTACGGGTACTACTCGAAGTGCCGGATCTGCGACACCCGGCTCAGCTTCGTGAGGAAGACGAAGGAGGAGGTCGAGGGCACCAAGCGCAAGGTGGTGGCCAAGCGCGAGTCCAAGATGAAGGTCGAGAAGGAGGAGCCGCCGGCGGAGATCAAGGTCGAGCCTCCGCCGAGGTACAAGGCTCCGTCGAAGTACGTCGAGTTCTGCGACGGGGTGCCGGTCAAGCCGCCACCGCCAATGGCGAGGAAGTCCTTGCCTGTCGCGAAGCCGAGGGCGATCGGCAGCGCGGCCAGCAGCAGCGGTGCGGCGAGCAGCAACAGCGGCAACCTCAGCAACATCGAGAAGGGCTTCGAGACGATGCAGTGGATGATGGTGGAGGACCGCAAGGAGCGCCAGCAGCAGATGGACCTGCTGATCAGCGTGATGAAGGGGCTCGGAGCTCCGCGCCCGGTGGCCGCGCCTCAGGAGGACGAGGAGAGCTAGGCGCCGCCCGGAGCGACGCATGCACGGAGGCAGTTGCAGCAGGAGGCCTACTTGCCCCAGCTGATCAGACGACAGCCCTTTTTGGGCCGGATGCTTCCGGCCCTGCCGAACTCTCGGGTCGATCTGCAAGGCTTGAAGCGAAGTGTCCTGAGGAGAAAGGGAGCCCTGCCCATGTCGCTCCTTCCCGCCCTCCCTCCTCTGCCTCATCCCTTTCCTTCCTGAGCAGAAAGATCCCAGCCCAGGCTGAGATCCTTGACGCCCTTCCCGACCCAGGATCTCACGGCAGCTGGATTGTCAAAAGCATCAAGACCGCGGCGAGAGACCTCGCCCGACCGGTCAGAAACCGGGTTCCTCGTTTCGCGTCAGGGGTCTGGGACCTGGAGACCGGTAAGAGGGTCAGTCAAGATGAGGTCTCCTCTTTGCTCTCCTGGGTTCCCAGGCGTCTTTCGGACCAAGAAAAAGGGGTCTGGGCCACACAGCTGGCTATGGGGCGGTCAGGAGGCCGGAATTTCGGAGACCCGCTCGATGGGGTTCGAAGGCTCCGGGTCCTCGACTCAGAGTCAGGGGCGGTCGTGCTGGACGAGCTCTGCGTCCTGTTGTCCTTCACGGCTGTCGCCGAGGCCTTAGATGGTCTCCCCGCCAGTTCCCTGGACATCGAGCTCTGGGCCGAGACTGCCGGGGCCCCAGTCGGCCTTGACCCTAGACATCCAGTTTTCTGGGGGCAGGCGGAGTCCGAGATCGCGGGAGAGCTTCAGGAGGCTTCGGGAGCTGCGAGTTCGACCTGGTGTTTCGCGGACCGCTTCGCGGACTTCGAACAGGACACTTTTGTTTCGCCTGCAGTTCCGAGGAGAGTCCGTCAGCAGGCTCTGCAGGTCTTGGAAGGGGCGGGGATTAGGAAAGTTAAGAGACGTGCCCGAAAGGACGTTCAGACAGCCCTGAAGAGTTTGGGGGCTACGATATGTCTCGAGCTCTTCTCTGCCCCGAGGGTCGAGCCCGAGCTCAGGCGTCTGGGTTTCCCCACTTCCCCCTCCCTCGATCTTAGGGCGGGGTGGGATTTCCGCAAGGTCGAGGACCGAAGACGTCTCTGGAAGCTTCTGGACGCTGAGAACCCTCTCACGATCCTGATGCCCCCCCCCTGCACGCTGTTTAGCATTTCCAGGGCGACGGCGGGCCAGATGGATCCGGCTAAGAGGGCCCGGGCCGAGAAAGAGGCTCTGCTTTTCATTTCTGTCTGTGCTCAGGTCGCGTCATACCAGCATCAGAAGAGGCGTTTCTTCCTGCTCGAGCATCCTTTGACCGCCAGTAGCTGGCAGTTGGTGAGTATCCAGAAGCTCGCGGCTCTTGAGGGGGTTGGTTACGTGGACATGGATCAGTGTGCTTTCGGGCTTTCGGTGTCCCCAGGGACCGTCTCCAAGAAACCCACTAGGCTGTTGTCCAACAGTCACGATCTCCTGCGCGCCTGCTCTCGCAAGTGCCCCGGAGATCATGAGCACCTGCATGTGGTGGGGGGGGCCAGGACGAGGGCGTCGCAGCAGTGCCCCCGTGAGCTCGTGGCCGCGCTCTGCAAGGGGGTGGAGCTGACCGCCGCGCGCGCCCTTTTTTTGCCAGCCGCCAGAGGACGATCCGTCCGATCCCGCCAGAATGTCTGAGGAGGGAGCTCAACAGGTAGACTCAGACACCGACGAGGAAGAGGATTCCTCCCCCTCCCCTCCAGGCCCAGAGGATCCGCCTCCAGGGGGTGACCCAGGGCCCGGGGTTCCGCCAGAAACGGGGGGTCTTTCCGAGCCGAGGCTCGACCGAGAAACTCAAAACGAAGTGCACAAACTGCACGCTAACTTGGGTCATCCCAGGCATGAAGAGTTTGTCCGGTCCCTTAAAGTTGCTAAGATACGAGACGACATCGTCAGGTGGGTGGCGAAGTCTTTCCGATGCCCTCAGTGTGATGGGGAGGCCCGTCCGCACTGGAGACGTCGAGCCCAGCTTCCTCGGACGTATCGTTTCAACAAGCTTATGGCGGTGGACCTCTTTTACATCCAGGCCTTCGGAGAGAATATTCCGGTGCTGAATATGATAGATCACGGGTCTAACTATCAATGCTGCACGGTCTTGAAAAATGCTGCGGCCCAACAGGTGTGGTCGGGCTTCGTTCGGGCCTGGGTGCGGCCAATGGGGGTGCCGGAGATGCTCATGTCCGATGGGGGTCCAGAATTTGAGGCCATCTTCCAGCGTGCTCTCGAGCATCTGGGGGTGTATCATCATGTCTGCGATGCCGAGAGCCCACGCCAAAACGGAAGGTGCGAGCGGCACGGGGGACTTGTCAAGACCGCTTTGTTTATGGCTCTGAAGGCGACCTCGATTATGGACCGCGAAGAGCTGGAGGACCTGATTTGTGAGGTTGTCTCGGCGAAGAACCGTTTCAGCAATCGTGGGGGGTATTCGCCGTTTCAGATGGTGTTTGGAGAGAACCCCCGCATGCCTCAGCATCTTCTCTCCGACGACGCCGTGGACGAAGTCGGGGTTCAGGATTTCGTGCTCGGCCCGCGGGACTCTGAGAGTCCGGCCTCGACTTTCGCCCGAAAGCATTTCCTGCGTGAGGAGGCGCGTCGCGCGGTGATGTCTCTGGATGTCACGGAACGTTTGAAGTGTGCCGCTCGGGCCAGACGTCACGCCGATATTGCTTTTCGACCTGGTACGTGGGTGTATGTGTGGAGAAAGCCGCACGGAGGCAAGCAGAGAGAGGGCTCTCGGGCCCGCTGGACCGGTCCCGGGGCCGTGGTTTTCCAACAGGGCACTACCGTGTGGGTGGCAATGCGCACCCGACTGCTTGAATGCTTGTCAGAACAGGTCCGAGAGGCAGCTCGTGACGAAGCCCAGGGAGCTGAGCTTCTTGACTCCCAGGCCTTGGCCGGTCTCAGATCGGAGCTCCAGAACCCATCTGGTCGTGTCGGGGCCGTCGACGTCGAGGCTGAAGGACCTCCCCCCCCTGAGGCCTGGGACGCCAGGGAGCCGGATCGAGAAGCGTTTGCCCCTCGGGTCGGCCAAGTCGAGCGACCAGTTTTGCCGGCGCCGCCGGTCGAGCCTGCGGCTGTGGCACCCCCCTCCGCCTCGGTCAATCAAGGTACGACCACGGGAGGGCGAACTGCCACCGTTTCACATAGTAGCCGCCAGCCGCCCTCCTCGACTGGAGCGACTCCGCCTCCCGAAACTACTAGGTGGGGCCCCCTTCCCGAGGCGTTGAGGCAAGCCCTCGATGCCCCGCCGCTCCCGAGGTCTCTTGCTCCTTTTCCTGCCTCTCCCTCTCCTGTCGTTCCTGCCTTGCCCTCGCCCTCCATTCCTCCGCCCGCGGACCCCGCGGAGGTGGTTCCTCCCCCCCAGCAGAGACCAAGGCTCACTCCAGTCGAGGAGGCGGGCGGTCCAGGACGCGTTCAGCGAGCCGTGCAGGAGTTCGATCGGAGATCGGGCGGAGTTTTGGGCAATGATGTTCCACTGTGCATCCTCCGGGACCGGACTTCTCGACCGTCGCCAGCCGGTTCCGCTCCTCTCGCTCCCAGACCGACTGTCAGGTCCAGGTCCCCGGTCCGATCCGAGCCGCCGGTCCAAGAACCAGGCGAGGCCTCTAGGGGCCCAGATGATGCCAGCTGGTTTGCCGGGTACGCCGATCGGGAAGATCCTCAGGACGACGACCTCTGGAATGAATTGTGCAGCTGGTACGGTTGGAAGTCGGATTTCTGGGAAGCGTCATCTAGTTTTGCCTCGCTCCCTTCCAAGTGCACGAGTGGCGCACCTCCGGCTCGCAGAGGCGCGGGGGTCTCTTTGAAGAATTTGACCTTGGAGGAGAGACGCCTATTCGATTTTTCCGATTTAAAGGAATGGCAGGCGATCGTCCAGTCAGGAGCTGTGCGGGTTGTCCCGTCTGCCGAGGCTCAGCTGATTCGCCGCCGATGCCCCGACCGGGTTCTGGGGTCCAGGATGGTTCGCAGGTTCAAGCCCCAGGAGGGCTTAGGGGCGCCTCCAGAAGCCAAGTCTAGGTGGTGTGTGCAGGGTCATCATGACCCAGATGGGGGGGAGCTTCAGGTCTACGCCCCGACCCCACAGGCAGAGAGTCTGATGCTGACCCTCCAGGCGATCTCCTCCCTCAACTGGACACTTGAGGTGGCTGACGCCAAGAACGCTTTCTGCCAGTCAGACCGCCTTAGGCGCCCTAGAGGCGCGATCTTTTGCGAGCCATGCCAAGGTCTGAATTTGGCTCCTGGTGAACTGATCGAGCTCGTCGCGCCCGTGTACGGTCTGAACGATGCCCCGTTGTTGTGGCATAGGACCCTTGCAGATTACCTTGTCACGGACGGCTTCCAAACATCGTTGCTTGAACCTTGTCTGTGGGTTGAGCGTATCAGTACGGGGGCCCCCAGAGCGATTTGTCTCATTGAGGTCGATGACCTCATTATAGCTGCCCATCCAGAAGAGAAGGACGGGCTCAGGTCTCGCCTTCAGTCTCGTTTCAATTTCGGGAAGTGGAGAATTGGGGAATCTGATTTCGCTGGGCGCCATCTGAAGCAGGTCTCGGGGGGAAAGATCCTGGTCGACCAGGGTAAATACGTGCTTGAACAACTTGCGCCTATGAGGCTTGAGAAACACAGGCGAGCGGAACCCTCCTCCCTTTTGACCCCCGAAGAAGTGAAGGGATATCGCACCATGGTGGCGCAAATCCAATGGCCTGCTCGGGAAACCAGACTGGATGTGTCCGGAGGAGCCTCGTTGCAGTCGGCCGCCCTTCCAACCCCCACCGTGGAAGATGCCTTGGTTTGCCTTAAGATCGCGAGACATCTGAAGGCTACCGCTTCGCAGCATATCGTGGTGTGGCCCCTGGACCCGGTGTCTCCGACGTTTGTCACTATCTCAGATGCTGGTGGTCCGGGTTCGGCTCGTCGGAACGGGGCCCAGGGAGCGTTCCTCGTCGTCGCGGCGGACTCGGAGATTCGTCGGAATCGCCGTGCTAGAGCCTCGCTCTTGGCCTGGAGATCGACCCGTCTGAAGAGAGCCGTGTCGTCCACCAGCGCCGCCGAGACCCTTAGTTTGTCGGCCGCGCTCGCAGAAGCGCAGTGGCTCCAAGTGATGTGGAGGGATCTTGTCTTTGCCGATGTGAATCGGCCCGA